GCACTCATAATTCCCGAATCCGAAATAGTTTTTTGGCCAGCGCAAATTTACAACTTTGTCGCCGCACCGAATTCAATTTGCCAGCGATATCGAAAAGTAGCCAAGAAAATGGCAAATTTTCCAAACTGCGTACTATGCGTTTTTTTTTTTTTTCCTTTTTTTTTTGGGAAGAAATTTTGTTTATCGTCGGACTATACGAGCTGTTAGAAATAACCCGCCATGGGCAGAAATAAATAATGTGTACATAAATTGCAGAGCCCACCTATTAAAAGGTTATCTCTCCCTCCGTTTTTGGGAACTATGTGGCTGGCTGGCTCGAAAATATTCTTTTGGCTAATTGTCTAAACAAACGGTGCGAAATTATGTTAGCGCATCGTCTGAGTTCTTTTTTTTCCTGCGGGATTTTTCTATCCCTCTGATTCGATTGCAATTCATTTTGAAGCCACGTGTACTTCATTATTTGCCAGGGGATAGTGGGTGCACTGATTTAAAAGGGCGTTAATCAACTAAGCAGAAAATATGAGGAAACCTGGTTTGCATCTAATGCTTGTATTTCTAACTGCAAATAAATTCTGCAGAAACTATGCAATCTGGATTTTTTTGGGGAGTATTACATCGAATATTATTTATATAAGCTATCATTTCATTTAACAGAAATATGAGCAAATAAATTTAAATATAAATGCAACGTGATTCTTCGGTAGCATTTGGCATTCCGTCGCCAGAAAGTATGCTATCAATCTTAACAGATAAACAAAACTGTAAATATCTATAGACCTAACTTTTGAAAACTGATCAAATTAAACTACGCAAAAGATTTACCAACATATTGGGAATACTTACAGGAATCTTAGATGTACGCAGGAACTCCAGAAGAGCCTCCAACGAACCCAGCGTGGAGGCCTGGACATGAACGCCTGTCTGAGCCAGTTTAATATGACTGAGGGCACTCTTCAGCTCCCTGGCAACTTCCTCGCTGAAATAATGCAAATACACATGAAACATGAATATGACATAGATTATAATAGATTATGCGTTTGCTAAAATACAAAATTGACATAAAACTTACGTGCAAATCTCGACTTCATCGGGCTTGTGGGCAACAAGCAGATTGATGCCCGCAATAGCCTTCTCCAGATCCTTGGCGGCGATTTTAACGCCCTGCGCAGCCTTTACTTCCTTGTACTCCACATAGGCGTTCTTCACACGCAGCTCCTTCATGGGCTGGGGCATCAACAGAGAGCGGATCTGGGTGACTATGGGACCATCAGTGCCGGCCACAACCATGGTTTGACCCTCGCGGAGCTTTCCATTGATTAGAATGGCATCGATGGTGGTTCCCAGACCTGGCAGTGCCTTCACCTCCAACACGGTGGCCTGCAGCTCCTCGGAGTACATCAGGCGCTTGGCCAGCATATTCTGACAGAAGTCGGCGATCATGAAGAGCAGGTTGCCCATGCCCTCGCCCGAAATTGCACTGGTCGGCACCAGTGAAATGTATGTCTTCGGATCCGTATTTTCGTAGAACAGAGCAGCATTCAAGCCCTGCTCGGCGAACTGCAGGATCACGTCCTTTGTGCGCTGCTGGAACTCCAGCTGTGTGTTGCTCTGTTGCTCCTTAAGCACATCCCTGACATCTCGTCTGCCCAACTGCTTCCAATCGTACAAACGATCAATCTTGTTCAGGGCCACAATGAACGGACACTTCTTCTTCTTGAGCAGCTGAATTGACTCGATGGTTTGCGGCTCCAAGCCGTGCATAATGTCCACCACCAGGATGGCTATGTCGCAGAGGGAGGATCCTCGGTTCCTTAGGTTGCTGAAGGACTCGTGGCCGGGTGTGTCGATGATCAATAGACCAGGCAAGCGATGTTCAAATCCAGCGGCCGCCTTTACGTACTTGGTCTGCTCCTTTATGGCTTCGATGGGCACGTTTGTGGCTCCAATCTGCTGGGTGATGCCACCCGCCTCGGAATCCTGGACGTGTGTCCGCCTCAGTTTGTCCAGAATCTTGGTTTTCCCTGTATCTACATGACCTAGCACACAAACAACTCCGGCTCTGAGTTCATCGGTTGAGCGCTTCTTTTCCGCCTCGGCTTGGCGTTTCAGGATTCTGGCTTCCGCACGGAGTCGTCGCGACTCTGGGTCATTGGCCAACACCGATACCTCACGGGAATCATCGCTATCCTCATCGGAGTCATCGCTGTCATCTTCATCTTCGTCATCTTCATCGTCCTCTGTATCATCGTCTTCTTCCTCGGCAGCCTCGGTCTTGCCATTGTTAGTGGCCTGCGAGGTTTCCTCCTCGGGCTCTGGCTCAGCCTCACTATCGGTGGCATCCCAACTCTCCTTGACTCTCTCCTCCTCGGCCTTTTCGGCAGCAGCTGCAGCTGCAGCAGCGGCGGCAGCTTGGGCTTCCGCTGCCTTGGCCTCCTCCTCGACGGCCTCTTCCTTGGGGCCCTTCTTTTTGTTCGGACGGATGCGAGTTCCTGAAAGACATTAATCCGTTAGTAAGGACTTAAATAAGCAAGTGAAGAGTTCGAATTTGCGCCTGATATTTAGATTATAAGCTAGTATTGTTACAAAGCAACACAAAAACCGAGGGCCTTGCATACAAATGCATGGAGAAAGCAATACCATTTACAAAAAAAGTGATATACAAGTGTACAAATAAATGTTAAAAAAATACTTTCACTTTCTAGACGACTGTATATAAAATCTAGATATAATTAATTATCAGGCCACAAACAGTAATAATCAAACTTTGGAGCTTTGTAGAACCATTAATGAAATGAAATCACCTGGCCGCGTGGGTCGCTTGTCGTTGGGATCGGGAATCTCGAGTCCCTGAGCCTTCAGAGACTCCAGAAGAGCCTGGGCCCTAGCCCTGTCCTCCTTCTGCTTCTTGGTGAGCAGTTTGCCTTCGGCCTTCAAGCGAGCCTTGCGTTCCGCCTCGCGCTGCTTCTTTTTCTCCTTCCTCTCGGCCTCTAGACGCACTGCTTCCAGGCGGGCTTCCTCGCGCTCATCCTCCAGGCGAATTCGCTCTGCCTCCTCCCGCTCTAGGCGCTCTTCTTCCTCCTTGCGCTTTCTCAGCTGCTCCTGCATGGCCGCCACCATGGCAGCAGACATACCCTTCTTCTTGGTGTCCTTCTTCTCTTCCTCAAGCTCGGCCTTCTTATCCTTCTTACCCTTCTTCTTGTTTTTGGTGGACTTTTCCTCCTCTTCTTCGACTTCGGGCTGGACTTCTTCCGTAGCTACTGGCTCTGGTTCTGGCGCAGGTTTCTCCACGGGCTTAGGTTTGGGTTCAGTAGCTGCCTTTTGCTTGGCTAGAGCAGCCTCCCTCTTTTGGCGCTCCTTCTTTTCCTTCTTTTTCTGGGCAGCTGACTTCACAGTGCTGCCGCCCTCATCGTCGTCGCTGGCCTCATCCTCTCCCGCGTTTTCTGCCACAGCAGCCTGCTTGGTCTGCTTCTTGTTTTTTTTTTTCTTGGAGAACTCATCAGCCAGTTCTTCCGGGGAGACAACAGTAGTGGAAGCAGGAGCAGCCTCTCCTGCGTATTCCGCTTGAAGCTCAGCTAAAACTTTGTCCAGATCTTCATCGTCATCGTCCTTTCCCTTGCGTTTGGCCTTTTTGCCCTTCTTCTCGTTCTTCTGGGCCTTGGCGACCACTACCTTTTCCTCCTCCTCAGACTGGCTTTCCTGGGCAGCGGGCTCGTCCTGGTCATCGTCGTCCATTAGCAGCTCAAAGGCGGACTTCTTGGACGCTTTGCCCTTGGCGGGCACCACCTCCTCCTCATCGGAGGCGTCATTCTTGCCTGCTTTGCCCTTTCCCTTGACATTAAGCTTCTTGACCCCTTTGGTCAGGGCTTGGACATCGTCCTCGCCAGCTTTATTGCCCTTCAGGGGTTGGTTCTTCTTGTTGTTGAGGCTCACCTGGTCGCTGTCCACATCGGAGCTGTAAGATTGAATAATAAACGTTAGAAAGTTTGCCAAGTTGGCAGGTTGATGCCCAACTTGCACAAGACTTACATTTCGTCCGCCGAGGAACCGCCTTCGACCTTGGTCACTATCTCTTTCTTGCCCTTTTTAGCTTTAACCATCTTCCCGCTTGCGACTGCAACACGCTCCTCCGCTGGCCGAAAACAAAAAGCCGTGGGTTATTCACTGCTGAAAGATCCGCACACGCGACGCCTCGGCAGCCAAGAAAAAGAGGAGGAAGACTTTCCTTTGGGTGCTCCTGGTGCTGGTGATCTTCTGATCCTGACTCCGCTTCGGTGGCTTCTTCGGCCCTGCTCCTGCGGAATTAGGCAATCAACGGCTAAATCTGATACGGCGGTTTGCCAATTTTCGGTTTTATTTAGCCGTGGAAATTCTGCACACAAACACGTTGGTCGAGTGGGTAGGTGCGGGGGGGTTGCCCAGACAGTGTGACCATGGGGGTGGATTGCTGAAAATCACAGAGGCTGAATTAAAGTTATCGATTATACCCTGTAGTCCCCCATTGAGGAGGGAGTTTTGTTTTTAGAGTAGATAATTGAATATACAAATTGGATATTTACAACATGTAGCGCCGGCGTGCGCTGTTTACGGAGACCATTTATCGCCGCTGACACTCAGTTGCATACTTCTCATACATACGGCAGTTGGTTTTATATACGAATTCAACTGCGAAAAGTATTGAACATATTCTTGAATTTCATTGATCACAGGAGATTTATGGAGAAGGAAACCATTTATGGTCTTTCTGTATACATATACTCGAAAGGCTTAATGGATTGCGGAAAGTTGTTTATCATATTTCGAAACTTTAAGTAGTTATTAAAGATAAGTGACAGAAAACTAGCCGCTACTCTTGATACTTAACAAACGTCTTTGTTCTACAGCTTATGTCTTATCCAGTTCTACATCTTCCACTAAAAATATTATTTCCGATGTGTAAACGAACTTATATATCCTCTAAGCTACATATGCCACTGAAAAATGACACTAAAAAATACCACTGGCTACAGCATTGGGTATTTTCTACCTCGCTAAATGCGGTCACACTTAAAAGTTCACCTAAACGCTTTATGCTCGAAATTTTGATCGCGAGTTTTTTCGAAAACTACGACTATTTATCTCCTGAATACCCAAGACCTATCGCGCAGTGCATCCACTAACTCAACAGCATTAGTAATTTACGTGAGTACAAGCAATCAGTGCAAATCCGGATGTAAATTTCCAAAAAGCCGGTAAGGAACTCCAATTTTGGATCCACAGCTCGATATCGAAGGAAATTTGAGGATTGGACAATGTCCAGCGAAGCATCCGGAAGTATTACCATCAAAGAAGAAGCATCCACGAGCGCTACGGCCACCAGTATTCCTGTAGAATCCGGAGAAGCAGAGGTAAGAAGTTGTTGTATTTGTGTGGGAAAGAAAGAGATGAAATCAGCGCAGGGATAACTGTAAAACTATTGGTGTCTCTTGTCGTGAAACTTGTGGTTGCTTGCCTTCCATTCAAACTGTTGCGCATTTACAGTATTTTTTTACTAGCTACACTGAAAAACAAAATACTATTGAATTACAAAAACCTAACTGGTAGTTTTAAATTTTCCGTTGCTGTTTAATAACATTATTTATTAAGATGACAACATAAACCAGGAATATCATATTGCAGTAAATTTATTCAATTGGTGCAGTGTATCCACTCTACTCAGTGTTTCTTTTAGTGTTTCAGTTCAAAATTTCTAATGTACATACATATGTACAAAATATACAGTTTCCAGTCGCACTCGTAAAAATTTGAAGCGCACATTTTTTTCAGGGTCGACTTGTATGTTCCCTTCCTCAAAACATACTGAAAATGTGTACATATATTTAGCTTAAATATATTAATATAATTTAAATATTTTTTTTTATTTTTTATTGGTATTCTATATTATTTTTAATAAATAATTATTAAATAAAAATTATAGGTTACTTAATACTTCGGTTTCATTTAACGCAACTTTGTCGCTCTGAAATGTTTTCAAAAATGATTGTTCCAATTTTCAGGCTAAGAAATCCGAGATCGGAGCTGACAAGGCGGAATCGCAGACCGAAGCCGAGGGCGGGAAGGCGGCGGAGACGACGGAGACCCACTTGAAGCGTCTGCAGAATCTGCGCAAGGAATTGGGCTACCTCAGCGAAACCGACTGGATGTACGAGAGTCTCGACAAGAAAGCAGCGCAGTAGAAACCCCAGAGCATCCATCGCAAGACCCCTGTCAAAAATGTTCACATTCGTTCGCAAGTTTTTCACCGACCCGGATCGTGACCGGGAGGATATCTTGGAATGCTTGGATCGGGAGAGTCGCTTTTTAGATCAAAAACTAATGGAGGAGAAGTTGGATCATCAGCTTAAGGCGAATCCATACGAAATGGATGCGATTTTAAATAACAAGATCGGTCAGCTAACGCAGGGTCTTTCGGAAATAGACATCAATAAGGAAGGTTCCTGCACCGCCAGAAAGGGAGTGATCACCAGTCTAGCCTGCGATGGTGGAGTCATCGACAAGGACGTTTTCTTCGAAAGCAAGGTGGCAGGGGAAATCTTTTTGGAGCTACACGTCGGCTGTGTAGTGGAATACTTGACTTTTAAGACGGGGGAAACCTTGCGGGTGGTCAAGGTGTCCCGTATCCTTGAGCACTGCTGGGAGGATACAAACCAAAATCAGGTGGGCTCATCGGTAGTAGTTATATTAGTCATTCTTTTAAAGCCAACGCTTAATGCCTTTACAATCCCAATCGCTGTCAGATTGATAAAGCTTTGGATAACCTAAAAAACGAAAAGCCCACCTACTTTAACACCGAAACAAGGAGCGTTTTGGGTCTGATTAGCCAGCGTCTGGCATCTTCCATAGACGTGGAAACGGAGTACGGACACCTTACAGTCGAGCTAGACAATATCGAGATGGACTTCATCCCAGCTAATGGAGATCGAGTGCGCCTAGAGTGCAACATTCAGCTGGATGACGGTTTTGTGGACAAACAGGGAGAAATCCTGGAGGTGACCAAGATGTTCCCCACGCGCATTGAAGATGGTGAAAAGTGCATTGTGGAGCGCGTATATACAGATCTAGTTGTGCTGGGTCCGGGAACCTACGTTTTAAAAGCGGACGTGCCCAGCGGCACTGATCTTCATCTGGGCGACTTTGTGCTCGCCGATCTCATAGAGTGCCAGTATGTAAGTTATAGAGGAGGCAAATTAAACTTTCATTTTTTCTCTTAATAAATGTGTTCTAATCCCCCAGTCCAAGTTTACGAGACGCGCCATTAAGATTACTCCGTTGGAGAAAAATTTTGGGGCAACCAAGGTGATCCAGCAGGGCAGTTTGGGATCTTCCAGCAGTGGACACGCGGTGACGGTGACTGGTGTAAATCGCTTCATCACCACAGAACTCTGGCAAAAACAGAGTGTATCTCTAAAACTGACAAACAATCTAAGTCGCACTTTGCGCCTGGAGAGCATTTCCGTCTGCAATGACAGTGAGTCCCAGTTGAGCGTGGTGACGCCTCTCAAATCCATGGATATAGGCAGCGGCTGCGAAATAACAATGAATTTTGAGATCCACACGAAGTTTCTTGGGGAAGCAACCGAAAACTTCGAGCTGAATTTCGATCGATTTAAGGTGAGACGCGTCTTCACGGTGATCGTGTGCAAAACAAAGGAGGAAGCCGCTGAAGCTGAGAAACGTATGATAGCAGCTGAAACTCTGATGGCTCCGGGACGTAACGTCCACCAGAGGTCACGATTCTATGCCAATCAAGTTTGGGGCAACAAGATGGATGTGATCCCAGGACAACACGTTGTTACCAAGCGCAGATTTGTTGCCCTGCGCTTGGGTTCCTTTGAAGTAAGGAGTGTTTACAAGGAGTGCTTACAAAATTATATGATTGCTTATTATGGTTTCTTTAAGGTGCCCGAGAAGTTGCGTCAAATGTATTTGACCATCGAACGGCGACAAGAAATGTTCGATGCCATCGAGCAGCACTATTCATGCCTCAAGGAACCTCTTAGCGTTAATAACTATATGCAGCGTTTCAGCTTGTTCCTACACCTCGAGGAGATTGAGTGCTTCGTGAACTTCCGCAACTACGACAGGGACCGAGCACATTTTCTGCGTGACGGAGAGTTCCTTGCGCTGCAGATCGAGAATCTAGCCGAGCGTCGTCCCTCGCTGGTCGTGGGCGATACAGTGCGAGCCATTAATCCCTGGGCGGATCCTGATTCCCGGAGCAACAAGTCCTACGAGGGCATTATCCATAAGGTGCTCTTCAATCGCGTACTACTAAAATTCCACTCCAGTTTCCAGGAGAAATACAATGGCGAGGATTATCGACTAGAGTTCTATTTCTCGCGCTACTGCTTTCGCAAGCAGCACCATGCCATCTCCACAATTGTTAGAGTAATGGGCGAGGATTTCCTGTTTCCCAGTAAGGTAACTAAGCGTGAAAATCCCCAGCTGGATGTCCATATGAAGGGTGATGACATGTACCTGTATGATTCGATATTACCGTGGTATAATCAGTCGCTTAATTCGATCCAAAAACGAGCTGTTTTCAATATCCTGCGCGGTGAGGCACAGAACATTCCCTATGTGATCTTTGGGCCTCCGGGCACTGGAAAAACGGTGACCCTGGTGGAGACAATACTCCAGTTGGTTAGGAATCTGCCTAGTGCCCGAATCTTGGTGGGAACACCATCAAACAGCTCAGCGGATTTGGTGACAAAGAGGCTCATTGATAGCAAAGCTCTGCTCCAGGGCGACTTTATACGCCTCGTGTCGCAAAATCAAGTGGAGAGAGACTTGATTCCTCCAGAATTGATGAGCTACTGCGCCACAACTGATGTCGGTGCTGTGGGCTCCTGCGAGGACAAAGTGAGTATAAATATGTATTCTTTGATTGGGCACCAAATAATCTTGGCTATTTTGCTATTAGATGGTGGTCACGGAATCGGGATTAAAGCTTCGCTGCCAAGCTAAGTTTATGGGCACTCATCGAATTACCATCTCCACCTGCTCTACTTTGGGAAACTTTTTACAAATGGGTTTTCCACCGGGTCATTTTACCCACGCACTTTTCGATGAGGCAGGTCAATCCACTGAACCAGACACAATGATACCCACTGTAATGCTAACGAAGAAACGCTGTCAAGTTGTTTTGTCAGGTGATCCTCGCCAGCTGCAGTCTATTGTCACCAATCGTTTTGCAGCGGAAAGAGGACTTTCCACATCCTTTATGGAGAGATTGCTGGAGCGCTCGCCATATCGAAGGGATCTTCAGAGATATCCCGAAAGCTCAGGCTACAATCCAGCAGTGCTGACCAAATTATTGTACAATTACCGAGCATTACCGTCGATCATGAGCATTTATAGCAAACTATTCTACGATGACGAACTGATCCCAGTGGTTTCCGAAAAGGATTCTAGGGAGTCTCGCTTACTAAGTTCAGTGCGGTGTGTATTTGAGCCCGAAAAAGATATGCCTCGAGCTCATGGCACGTTCTTTTATGGAATCACTGGAGAAAACAGGCAAGAGAACGATTCCCCTTCTTGGTACAATCCCCAAGAGGTCAAGGAGGTGTTCCTGATGACCATCGCCCTGTACCGTGCCAATGTGACTGCCGACCAGATCGGTATACTCACGCCGTATATGAAGCAGGTGAAGATGCTGCGGAATATGTTCATTGGCACCGATGTGGTTATGCCGAAAATTGGTTCCGTCGAGGAGTTTCAGGGGCAGGTGGGTGGAATTCTAATCAATGTTGCCTATACACCTAACGTTTGTAATTTGCAGGAACGTGACATTATGCTTATTTCCACGGTGCGTTCATCGGAAGCGATCCTGCGCATGGATGCCCGGTTATCCTTGGGTTTCGTGCGTTGCAGCAAGCGAATGAACGTGGCCATTTCCCGAGCACGTGCCATGATGATCATCTTTGGGAATCCCCATCTTCTAGCCGTCGACGAATGCTGGCGCCAACTCATCCTGTTCTGTGCCAACAATAACGCTTACTTTGGCTGTGATCTGCCTCAATCGGTGGTGAATCAGGAAGATGAGGACCCTGTTCGCTCGGAAACATTCGTGCCTTAACTTAACTACTAGAAATTATATTCTGTATGTCCGCTATGCAAGGAGCTACTACAGACGGCTAACTAATCCAAATACCTTGCTTTGAACTAAGAAAATATGACAGTTTATTTCGTTTTAATTGTTAGGAAACCACTTGTTATGGTCAAAATAAAAAGCTCAATTCTAATCTTTGAATTTTTCGTCAAAGTGGTAAATTTCCCAAGTGCAGATATGGCTTAATGGGCTGTACCCCACTTTCAGCAGTCTGGCAACGGGGCTGACTGAGTTTCGCAGTGTGGTAGCACTGGCCAGAGCCGTTATACCGCCATGTTTGCGCTCCTTTTGTTTTCGCCTCCATTTGTTTTGCTTATTCCGCCGTAAAGTTTGTTGCCTTTAAATCCGTAATTTGGGACATTGAATATCTGCTGGATATTTCGATATAATGGAGCAGAATGTGGCTGCCGAGCAGAACATCTTCGTCGTTGACCACAAATTGAAGAAGAATTCCCGGCAAGCAGATGTCGAGGTAAACGGACATGTGCTTAACTTTTGCGTGCCAAACTTTACTTATTTCGTTAAATATCAATTTATAGCGCCTGGCTAAGACGCATTGGCTCAGCGACTACGCCCGGGATATATTTTTGACCATGAGGGAGCAGGAACTCCGCCGGAAGCCGATGTTTTTCCTTTCGCCGCAATTGAGCGAGCGCCAGAGGATGCTGCAGTTGCTCAAACTGGTGACCCGTGCCCACAAGCTCAGTCGCTGTGCTCTGCACCTGGGTGAGCATGTTACAGTGGGGCCTCGCTTCATGTACAACTCATTGTAACTTATCTATTATTCGTTTGATTCCAGCCGTTTACTATATGGATCGCTTTGTTGATCACTACAAAATCCGTCCGGACAAGCTGTTGCTGGTGGCCATCACCTGTCTTCATATAGCAGCGCAGATCGAAAACACCGATGCGTTTATTCCGCACTATAGCGAAATGAACAGAATGGTCAAGAACGCCTATACGGCTTTCGAGTACAAGGCTGTGGAAAGGAAGATCCTGTGCTTCCTCAACTTCGAGCTGGTGCGTCCCACAACTGCCAGTTTTGTGGAGCTGTTCGCCTGCAGTTTTCTCACTCGC